GTGGACACTGTGTGGCCTGAGAACAAATAGGGTGCCTGGGGCCACTGTGGGAGGCTCAAGGGCACGGTGGACCACTATGGGAGGTTGGGTGGCACTATGGGAACTGAGGGAGGTTGGAGGCAAACAGGGTGCCTGGGTGAGGTTGAGAGGCATGGCAGACCACTATGGGAGGTTGGAGGCAAACAGGGTGCCTGGGGGAGGTTGAGGGGCATGGCAGACCACTATGGGAGGTTGGGTGGCACTATGGGAGCTGGGAGCATTGTGAAAGGTTGGGGGACACTGTGGAGGTTGAGGGCACTGTGAGAGGTTGAGGGGCACGGTGGACCACTAGGGTAGGTTAGGTGGCACTGTGGGAGTTGGGAGGCACTGCGGAGGGTTAAGAGATCTGCAGGTGATGGAGGTCCAGGAGGAGGAAGGACATGACTTGGCAGTGGGCCATAGTCCAGTGGTTGGTGACCACTGCTCTACAGCATTCTTCAGAAACCGAAATGTCACAACAAATGTTCATTATGCAGATATATTTCTGATACATTTCCTACATATCTGATAACTGCAGACGATACCAACATTCACATATCTGTACAGAGGCAAACTGGGGCTGCTGATAGCAGAGCACTATAACAGTTTCATGCTACGACTTTATGCAGTGAAAAGACTGCCTTGCGTGGGAACTGCTGATCGCAACATTTCCCAAAAAAAAAAAGAAGCATCAAAATATGAAAAGAGTGATGAGATCACCCCAAAATTCTGTCAGCTGCACCACCGACAGATGGATGCAGCTGATGGCAGACCATGTGAAAATCAAGAGAGATTAACCTAAAATAACATATCTAGCCTCAGGAAGCTGGACGAGGGCCTCTTCTATGGGATGATTTATGAGAAGAATAAAAAGTCAACGGGCCACGGCAACCGGGCGGTGTTCTATTCCCCGAGCACCCCCCAAAAAATAAGGAACCCTGTTGGTCTAGGGTCAGTGTTTACACGTTGGTCCTCACTGGTTTGATTAAATAGGACATATACACTATATTGCCAAAAGTATCGGGACTAGGGTTGCCTCATCCCTTTAAAACCGTACAAATATTAATGACACGGGTTCTGACGCAAATTTATTGAGTTTAATTACCGCCATAATCAGCCACAGAACCTGAGTAATTATTACGTGTTTGGTTTTAAAGGGATGAGGTGGCAACACTAATTGGCCCCGCCCTCCCAATCATGTGATTCAGGTGTTCCAATCCCCTCCATGGACACAGGTGTATACAATCAAGCCCCTAGGCATGCAGACTGCTTCTACAAACATTGGTGAAAGAATGGGTCGCTCTCAGGAGCTCAGTGACTCCAAGCGTGGTCCCGTGATAGGTGGCCACCTGTGCAATAAGTCCATCCGTGAAATATAAAAAAATATTTTTAAAAATACATTTTCAAATATACTGTATGTCTTTAAAAATACATTTAATCTACATTTTTGGAATATATTTACAAACATATGTAAAAATATATGTTAAAATGACTTTTTTATATGTTAAAAAAATTAAAAGAATATATTTAAAAAATATATATTTTAAAAAATATTTTTCATACATATTGTAGTATATAAAAAAAAATTCATATATTTCAATAAATAAATACATATATGAAAGAAGAATATATTTGAAATATATTTGTAAAAAATTCTTCCCAAATATATTGCCATATATTTGAAATGCTACAATTTTGGTCATATTCAATGTATTCAAAAATATATTTTACATATATATATATATATATATATATATATATATACTGTATGTTGAAATGCGTATTTGTTACAAAATATATGAAAAATATTTTTAAAAATACATTTTCAAATATATACTGTGTCTTTAAAAATACATTTAATCTACATTTTTGGAATACATTTACAAATATATGTAAAAATATATGTTTAAAATGACTTTTTTATATGTTAAAAAAGTTAGAAGAATATATTTAAAAAATATATATATTTTTAAAAATATTTTTCATACATATTGTAGTATATAAAAAATTAATATATTTCAATAAATAAATACATATATGAAAGAAGAATATATTTGAAATATATTTGTAAAATATTCTTCCCAAATATATTGCCATATATTTGAAATGCTACAATTTTGGCCGTATTCAATATATATTCTATATATATATATATATATATATATATATACTGTATGTTGAAATGCGTTTTTTGTTACAAAATATATAAAAAATATTTTTAAAAATACATTTTCAAATTTACTGTATGTCTTTAAAAATACATTTCATCTACATTTTTGGAATGCATTTACAAATATATGTAAAAAAAATATGTTAAAATGACTTTTTTATATGTTAAAAAAATTTGAAGAATATATATTTAAAAAATATATATTTTTAAAAATATTTTTCATACTTTTTGTAGTATATAAAAAAATTCCTATATTTCAATAAATAAATATATATATATATATATTGCATGTTGAAATGCGTTTTTATTATGAAATATATGAAAAATATTTTTAAAAACACATTTCAAATAAGTATGTCTTTAAAAATACAGATCTACATTTTTTGGAACGCATTTACAAATATATGTAAAAATATATGTTAAAATTACTTTTTTTATATGTTAAAAAAAATCTGAAGAATATATTTAAAAAATATATATTTTTAAAAATATATTTTTTAAAATATATTCTTCAGATTTTTTTTAACATATAAAAAAATAATTTTAACATATCTTTTTGCATATATTTGTAAATGCGTTCCAAAAATACCAAACATGTCACGCTTGAAAATTACGTACGCACGTGCAATGGCGACAAAGGATGGAAATTTAACGTTTCCTAGGCGACACTTTAAAAGCCTTTATAGGTTACCACTTTAGATTTACAAAGGTCTCGTGCTAGAATTACTGCTCATGATCAGATTTTTGTAATGAAAACTCGCATGTGGGACATTCGCTGTTTACATGCATGCGGGACCGGCGCATGCGTTCGCATTTGCGTGGAAGCACAGGGGGACAGGGACGCTATTTTTTTCTTTTAATTTTTTTTTTTTTTTTTTTTACACTGTCACTTTTTTTTCTGATCTGTGTGTCCCAGCAATAGACACATGACAGGTACTCTTTATGGAGGTGAATTTTTTTCCCTAAAAATTGCGCTTGAAAAACCACTGCGCAAATACTGTGCGACACATAAAATTGCAAAACCAATTTATTCTCTGGGGCCTCTGCTTTCAAAAAAAAAAAAATAATAATGTTTGGGGTTCTAAGACACCTGGTTCACACCGCCGCAATTTCAGTTGCGATTTTGGAATTGAAATTGTACCTGAAATCGAATCCAATGAATGTGAGCGTCTTAACACATGCGATTTGCTGCGGCGCGAATTCAAAAGTAGTTCTTGTATGACTTTTTCTGCAGTTTGTTGTGAACCAGGGCTAAGACGCTGCATACTAACGATCAGATTATCGGACGATCGCTGCGAAAACCGTATTTTTTGTCCGATTTTCTCATTGTGTGTACTCGGCTTAACCTCCTGATGTTTTTTTTTTTCTAGTTATGTTACCTGGGGATCCCTCTTAATAGGCAACATATTTATCTACCTAACTGAAAAAAAAAAATGAAAAAAAAAAAGATAAGGAATCTAATAGGCAGAAAACCATTTTAAGTAGATTGCATGAAATGTGAGCGCCCCCTATTGGTCAATTTACAAATCTCAATATTTGATACAATTATTATTATTATTATACAGCATTTATATAGAGCAATACTGTATGATATCATTTATTTATTGCAGGTACTTATATAGCGCTGTCAATTTATGCAGCACTTTATATATATATATAAAAATATTGTACATTCACATCAGTCCCTAACCCTCAAGGGGCGTACAATCTAAGGGCCCTAACCCTCAAGGGGTGTACAATCTAAGGTCCCTAACCCTCAAGGCGTGTACAATCTAAGGTCCCTAACCCTCAAGGGGCGTACAATCTAAGGTCCTTAACCCTCAAGGGGCGTACAATCTAAGGTCCCTAACCCTCAAGGCGTGTACAATCTAAGGTCTCTAACCGTCAAGGGGCGTACAATCTAAGGTCTCTAACCCTCAAGGGGCGTACAATCTAAGGTCCCTAACCCTCAAGGGGTGTACAATCTAAGGTCCCTAACCCTCAAGGGGCGTACAATCTAAGGTCCTTAACCCTCAAGGAGTGTACAATCTAAGGTCCCTAACCCTCAAGGAGCCTACAATCTAAGATTCCTAACCCTCAAGGGGCGTACAATCTAAGGTCCCTAACCCTCAAGGGGCGTACAATCTAAGGTCCCTAACCTCAACGGCATACAATCTAAGGTTCCTAACCCTCAAGGGGCGTACAATCTAAGGTCCCTAACCCTCAAGGGGTGTACAATCTAAGGTCCCTAACCCTCAAGGGGTGTACAATCTAAGGTCCCTAACCCTCAAGGGGCGTACAATCTAAGGTCCCTAACCCTCAAGGGGCGTACAATCTAAGGTTCCTAACCCTCAAGGGGGGTACAATCTAAGGTCCCTAACCCTCAAGGGGCGTACAATCTAAAGTTCCTAACTCACATTCATACATACACATACTAGGGACAATTTTAGGCAGGAGCCAATTAACCTCCCAGTATGTCTTTATAGAAGAGCAAACAGAGAAAATAGGAAACTCTTCTCCAAGTTTACATTAAAACTTCAAATACAACTAAATTTATTCAAATTAGGGTTATATAGGGATTCAACCTTTTCTGGGCAAAGCAACCAATCCCCTTGAAAGCCTACACAGATACCTGAAGTCACCACGTTCCCCGGCTACTCCACTCTATCCGCTTAGAGTACAGTTTTAAAAGTCCTTAAGACCCCATTTTATTATATTTCTTTAGTTCTTCTCATTTTTTCTGAAGACATCAATCCTAATCCACGACTTTAAATTGGCAGGTGGAGGATGACCGGTGAAGAGTGACCACCGTGGCCGATGTGAATGGACTGTGATGGGTAGACCGACCACCAGGTTCCTTCTGCTGAGAACTTTGCCCGGTGTCCTCCTCAAGACCGCGCTGCTGCTGGTTTTCTGTGATCAGGGTAAGTGCGATGCTCTGCAATCTAAGTGAAGGTTTCATGGCCAACCCACATGGAAGAAAAATATATTTGAAATATATTTTAAAAATATTATTCCCAAATATATTGACATATATTTTGAAATGCTACCATGTTGGCATTTCACTGCATGTTGAAATGCATTTTTTATATATTAAAAATATATGAAAAACATTTTTAAAAATATATTTTTTAATTATATTCTTCAGATTTTTTTAACATATAAAAAGTAATTTTAACATATATTTTTACATATGTTTGTAAATGCATGTCTTTGGAGTGTGGGAGGAAACACAGGCACAGGGAGAACATGCAAACTCCAGGCAGGTAGTGTCGTGGTGGGGATATGAACCGATGACCCTAGTACTGCCAGATGGAGGTGCTATGGAAGAAAAATATATTTGAATTATATTTTGAAAATATTCTTTCCAAATATATTGACATATATTTGAAATATTACAATTTTGGCCGTATTCAATATATTTCAAAATACATTTATATATATTTATATACATACTGCATGTTGAAATGCGTTTTTTATATATGACATATATTTGAAATACTACAATTTTGGCTGTATTCAATATATTTTAATATATATATATATATATATATATATATACTGTATGTTGAAATGCATTTTTATATATTACAAAATATATTTTTATATATATATTTTTTAAACATATTCTTCAGATTTTTTTAACATTTTTTTAAAATTTTTTTTAACATTTTATAAAATAGTAATTTTAACATATATTTTTACATTTCTTTGTAAATGCATTCCAAAAATGTAGATTAAATGTATTTTTACATACAGTATATTTTAAAATGCATTTTTAAAAATATTTTTCATATATTTTGTAATAAAAAATGCATTTCAACATACAGTATATATATATATATATATATATATATATATATATATATATATATATATATAAATAAATATATTGAATAAGGCCAAAATTGCAGTATTTCAAATATATGTCAATATATTTGGGAAGAATATTTTTAAAATACATTTAAAATATATTTTTCTTCCATGTGGGAAGGTAAGACCCCACAGGGAGCTGCATTGGGGCTCAAGTGAAGGGGAGCCTAAAAAAAATGCCTGGATAGGTATTCTATATCAGTAGTGAAGGCCGCCACCCATTCATTCCAAATGTAACTTGATGACAATGTTTACTGTAAAGTGGACCTGTCATTAAAATTCGCACTACATAAAGCTGTATGGCACACGGGCCCGTGTTAAAAAATCCAATTATTTGGCGTAAAATATTTACCCGTATCGGGAAATGACGGATGGGCGGCGGCTTTCTTGTTCTGGGAGGATGTCTTATGATGCCCTCCCACTCTAGCTGCGAACGCCCGCCCCCGGGGACACGCAGCGTGGCGATTGGTGGTCCCTTGGATCACCGATTGTGGTAAAGAGCCGATAATGTAGGCTCTTTACCATGTGATCAGCTGTGTCCAATCACAGCTGATCACATGTAAGCAGGAAATGCTGGTTATCGGCTGTCCTCACGCTGACAGCGTGTGAGGAGAGAAGAGCCGTTAAGAAGCAATCCTCAGAGGGACATCTACACTGATCATCAGTGCCCTGATTACCAGTGCAGCCCCATCAGTGATGCCTTTCAGTGCCCATCAGTACTGCCTTTCAGTGTCCATCAGTGATGCCTATCAGTGCCCATCAGTGATGCCTTTCAGTGCCCATCAGTGATGCCTATCAGCGTCGCCTTTCAGTGTCCATCAGTGATGCCTATCAGTGCCCATCAGTGTGATACCTATCAGTACCCATCAGTGATGCCTATCAGTGCCCATCAGTGTCCATCAGTGATGCCTTTCAGTGCCCATCAGTGATGCCTATCAGCATCCATCAGCGCTGCCTTTCAGTGTCCATCAGTGATGCCTATCAGTGCCCATCAGTGATGCCTATCACTACCCATCAGTGATGCCTATCAGTGTCCAGTGATGCCTATCAGTGCCCATCAGTGATGACTTTCAGTGCCCATCAGTGATGCCTTTAATTGCCCGTCAGTGCCATCTTTCAGTGACCATCAGTGATGCCTCTCAGAGCCCATCAGTGCTACCTAACAGTGCCCATCAGTGATACCTGTCAATGCCCATCAGTGCTTCCTCATCAGTGCTGTCTATTAGTACCCATCAATGCTGCCTATCAGTGCCAATCAGTGCCACCTATCAGTGCCCATCAGTGATGCCTTTAATTGCCCATCAGTGACACCTTTCAGTGCCCATCAGTGATGCCTGTCAATGCCCATCAATGACTCCTCATCAAGGCACTCTATAACCCTCCCACAAGCTAGGTTCACATCTATGCAGGTTGCGTTCGATGCGTTTTTGTGCCGCATTTTCTGGTGCATTTTTGAACACGCGTTTTCGATGACAAAAGGTGGAAAATTTCAAGGGGTATGAATACTTTTTCAAGACACTGTATCTATTTGCTCAGTGTAACATCATCTTTCATATTTTAAAAAAAAAAATGGGTTATATATTGTGTTTTGGGTTTTTTTTAATTCATTAAAGTGCATTTTTTCCCCAAAAAATTGCATTTGAAAAATCGCTGCGCAAATACCGCAAAAAAAAAAAAAAAGTATATATAATGTCTGGGGGTTCGAAGTAATTTTCTAGCAAAAAAAATGCTGATTTTTACCTATATGAGAGAAGGGTCAGAATTGGCCTGGTAAGCAATTGGTTAAGTCAAAGGGTCAGCAAAGGAAGCACAGCCTGCATGTGTAATGAACAAATATGGATGCCCCATGTACATACATATGTAGCGCTACCCCCGCAGGAGCTGTAGGTCCTCACAGGTCCTTTCTCTAATCAGTGCAGGGCAGCCAGGCACACAGTTGTCATCCATCCATTCTGGCTCACGAAACAGTCTAGGGCACGGGTGTCAAACTGGCGGCCCTCCAGCTGTTGCCAAACTACAAGTCCCATGAACCGATTCTCATCTCCATGGGGCGTCACGGGAAGCCAATCAGGCGTGCTGCATGCTCAGTGATCATCAGTCAGTCTTCTGTTGCTCCTTCACTGTCCAATCCCAGGCTGGGGGAAGGAAGGTGACCCAGCTGTATAGTTTAAACACAGCAGAAAAAAGTCGGGTCATAAGCTTGACTCTTCCGTCTAGCAGGGCAGTGTGAATTTTAGTACTGGATGGACAAACCTATAAATCCGTTGGCATCCAAAACATCCCTCAGATATATATTTTAACTGATTTGCAGAAGTATAAATCTTGATAACATGTCCTCCTTTTTCCTCTGTACAGTGGATGCACAGTGCAGGATCATGAAATGTAACACGGAATATGTTGCTGCCGTATCCAATGCAAAGACCTCCAACAAGAACGTGGCGCACTGCAACGCCTTGCGCTCCTACTCCCAGTGCACCCGCAACACGGCTCGGACCTGCCGCGGAGATCTGGTCTACCACTCTGCCGTGCACATCATCGAGGACCGCATGATCCAGTTCAACTGTTCCAAGGTGGGACCCACTAACCCTCCACGAAGGCAGCCTCCACCTCCTCCTCCAGATGGAGCCATGAAACAAGCCTGCGACTATGGGAAGGTCTACCAAGAGAAGCATGGGAGCGAACCCAAATATGTGCACTGCGGGGTCTTCGGGGACCCACACGTACGGACTTTCGGCGGTGACTTCCAAACCTGCAGTGTAAAGGGCTCATGGCCTCTCTTGGACAACGAATATCTGTTTGTTCAGGCCACCAGCTCACCGGTGTCTCCGTTCTCAAATGCTACGGTAACAAGCAAGGTAAAGAGCTTGGCAAGGGCAACCATTCAAAAAACTCCATTTACTTGAAGAATACAAAGCGTTTTCTGATTGGAAGAGATGAAGATTGTGACATCACCACTCCATCTCTCTACCTCACCCAATTAGAGAACGCTTGGTTGGTTGTGTTTAAGATTTTGGATTAGGGGGGTTAGGTTGAGTTTCTAGAGCAACTCCAGGCAAAAATCCACAGTTGGCACCAGGGGCTGACTGACAACTCATGGGGCCCCTGGGCAATAGGGGATCATGGGGCCTCTGTTTCCTTGCCCACACTCAAAGCACACCCAAAAAAGCCTATAAAAGGTACCAGGGGCATTTCTTGGGGCCATCTACTGACCCCAGGCCCTCAGGCAATGCCCGAGTGCTTGAATGGTCAGTCCGCCCCTGGTTGGCACACATACAGTATATGGTGTCTGTGTTATCTGCCAAAGGACTTGTATATTTGCCCATCCACTTCTGAGATTTACACAGCTCTTCCACACAGCACAGCTCTGTCTGGCAGGGGAGGGGACCTCGTTTCTTCTCCACTCCCACCCTGTGACTGGACAGTGAAAGTAGAAGCAGCAGAATGATGAGCTCATCTCTCCGTCACTCTGCTCACTCCTCTAGTCAACATGTTCCTTGTTGTCACATGAGTATTGCAGAGAAATTGACCGACTACTTTGAGTTCTGCTGTAAATGGGACTGTGGAATCTGATTACATGTAGGGATGAGCTGGGTTTGGTCCAAGCTTGACCCAAACCCAGTTCTGAAAAACTGCCGGGAAGCTGTCACATGATTTGGCCATATGGTCATATCAGGTAAATGACATCATGAGCATCCCCACCCTTTTGCATCCCTGATACATGCATACATGAATTATGTATTGAAATGATGGAAGGCTCTGGGGGAGTTGGTTGTCACTGTGGGCGGGATAGGGGTTTCTGGAGTGGGTAAGAGGATACTGCAGCGAACCTGGTAGCCCTGTAAGGGATGAGGTGTCTGATGGAGTCTCTCCAGAAAGATGGGGTTTTGCAAAGGTACTGCAGGGAGTAGGAGGTAATGTGGGAGGCTGGGAGGTACTGTGAGACACTGTTGAAGGTTGAGGGTGTTTTGGGGGGCTGAAGGCTCTGCAGCAGATTGGGAGGCACTGTGGGAGCTGAGAGCTGTCAGTGGGCCTTGGGGCGCTAAGTGGGGTTGCAGGGCATTGTGGACAATCATGGGAGGTGGGGGGCATTATGGGAGCTGGGAGGCACTGTAGGCAGTTGGGGGACACTGTAGGGGGTGAGAGCAAACAGGGTACAGTGGGGGGTTTAAGGGCACAGTGGACTACTATGGAAGGTTTGGTGGCACAATGCGAGCTGGGTGGCACTGTGGGAGGTTCAGGGATCTGCAGGTGGTTGGAGGCCCGGAAGGAGGGAGGCCACAGCCTGGAGATTGAGAACCACTGCTCTACAGCATCCTCCCAAACTAAAATCTCAGTTCTAAGTGGACTGGGCCCTTGTAACATACCAAAGGGCACAATAGACGCTGTGGTTGAACAACAGCTTTATGGCATAGCTCTTTTGAAAGTTCCTTCTCTGACAACACAGATCCCTCCCGTTCTGGCCAGTAAAGCAGGGCTTGATCAGGAGCTGAGGAACAGATGGAGGAACCTGGTTCACAGCAAGGAAGTTCCACCTTTTCCCTCTAGAAAACAAATGCTGTGCTAGTTGCATATAAATGTAAACGTTTGTCTTATTTTGAAAATTTTGAAATATGAAAGGGGGTGGGTAATGAGGTAAAATATGTTCTTCAGACATCCATTTGTTTTCATCCACCTTGGACATTAAAGATTGTCAAGAAATAATGCTGAGCAGAGCTTGGGCCAATATTTGTGCTTTTTGTTGTATTTAGTAAAAAGATGCCACATTTAAATGTATTTTTATTCATTGGTTTCTCATTGGATCTTTTAATTCCTTTCTTTTCAAAGCTAACAATTATCTTCAAGAACATGAAGCAGTGCATCGACCAGAAGGTCTACCAGGCAGAAGTTGGCAACATGCCAGCAGCATTTGACGATGGCTCTGTGAACGGGGGCCGAAGAGCAGGTGGAAGCAGCCTGACCATCCATGAAAGGGAGCCTGGGAAATACATTGAAATCCAAGCAGCGTATATTGGCACCACTATCCGCATACGACAGCTGGACAAGCAGCTGTCCTTCTCTCTGCGTATGGCCAAGGAGATCTCACAGGCCTTTCCAGAGGAGCAAGACCTGCAGCTCTGTGTTGGTGGCTGCCCATCCGGCCAATGGATATCTAGAACTAAGGACCTCAGTAGGACAACAGTCATGGACCTGGAAACAGCCAGATCCCTCTGTGGGGAGAAATTGACTGTAGAAGACGTCTACTTTCAGTCTTGCGTGTTTGACCTGATGGCATCAGGAAATAGCAATTTGACGTACGCAGCCTACCACGCCTTAGAAGATGCAAGGGATTTCCATCCTGAGCCTGGAACTTTACATATATTCAGCAGAGGGGAAAGCGGGCCTCGTTTATCTGTTGCTGCTCTTCTTCTGATTTGTCTTGTTGTTGGGTGTTCTGGTGTGGCTGAGCTGAGGACCTTTATGGAAATGTGGACCTGTACAAACTAATCATGAATGTGAATATGAGAATCCCGAGAAATATGATGAATGTTGGATATTTCAAACTTGTTTAAAGTTGTTCTCCAGTGAAGATGGCTGTTTGGGTTTTTGCAGCACTCCGCTTATTAAGTTCAATGGGGGGGCTGTGTGTTATTTGAAGTCTGATTCCTAATTTGAGTGAAACTAGTCTAAGACGGGTTGGTTGTAAGGGTAGGTAACCCCAGAGATAACTATTAATATCTTTCAGTATTGGTAGCAGGAACCTCTTCAAAAACCTAGTGTCCCAGCATGGTTCCAGAGCCAGGCTCAGACTTCCTACAGCATTCATCTATAAGTTAAGGAGCTGAAAGATGTAAATCTCCACACCGCCTCCTCCATAAGTGGAAAGAGTTTAACTATTTCATTGCGGTTAGAACTTTGTATTTATTTATGCAATGTAATATATAATTTAAAATGTAAATCTTCACTAGAACAAAAAACACATAACTGCAGTTAAAAAAATAATAGAAGCCCAAATTAACCTGACCTAATTAGTGCTGCAAGGCCGGGCCAGGAAAATATTAACTTTGCAAATAGAATTTGTTTACCATGTTGTTCCTTTGAGATTTTACTGGTATTGATCATACTCAGTGGTAAATGTAATGGGAGAACCATTGGCTGGTGGATGGTATGACAGTAGAGGTATTCTGTAGACCAATCATTCTCAACCAGGGTTCCTCCAGAGGTTGTTAGGGGTTCCTTGAGCTGTGGTTGATTGTCTTCCCATCTGGTTGTGCCTGCATAGTCCTGGTCCAACACCACTTGGCAAAGCCACCACCATGACACCAATGTATCTTTTTAGCTGTCTGTAACGGTGGCACCACTGACCACCACTGTAAGGGTTGCATTCTTCCTACTGACCACCAATGTAAGGGGCATTTTCCCATAGACCCCAATAAATTGGTTTTAGCAGGGGTTCCTTGAAACTTGAAATTTATTTTAGGGGTTCCTCTGAGGTAAAAAGGTTGGGAAAGGTTGCTGTAAACAAAGGGTAAGTGCACTGCTAAAATACAATAACCCCTCTAATATATAAATTCAGGCCAATTACGTGTCTGTTAACAGGGGTTCAGCCACTTCAGATCTCAGCTTGGGTTTCCTGGATTTAGTTTCTGTTATCTTATATGCATAAGTATGATCTGAACTTTATGTGCAGGGAAATTTATGCATATGTTGACCCAGACCCTCCATGCATGTCAATTTTCACTACCCAACCCTCTTCCTGCTGGAATAACATGTAAAACGTTGTTAAACATGTACACATAACTATCTCCAGCACCTTGGGCACCAGCTGGCTGTAGCAGCAAAAGAAGATCTTTATATGTAGGGGTGTCATGGCCACTCTCTCAGCAAATGTGCTCAGTCAGAGACATGGATTGGTCAAAAGTAGCCACCTTCCCAAACAGCTGTTAGCCTACTGCTGCGGGTGCACCATGGGATGTGTAAGGAGGGTAACATGAACTGATGATTGAGGTCCACTTTAAACAAAGCATTTAATGTGAAGGATAAAACTTGGTCACCTTTTCTGGAGAACTTTTTTTAGCCGATTTCCATAAGCAAACATATTTATTTTTTACGTTATCACACAGGTGAACATATCTTTTGAATATGTTTTAGGTTTTGATTTTGTTTTAAAATGTTCTTCATTGTTGCATTGGGCAGATCCACCATGTGTAATAATCCAATACAGCTAAAGAGCTGGTAGAGTACGCTCAACAAAGAATCCACCAAATGTATTAATCCAGCACAGTTGAAGGGTTGGTTTGGTACACTCAACAATTAATTCATTAGATGTATTCATTTAGCACAGTTGAAGGGTTGGTTGGGTAAACTCCACAAATAATCCACTAGATGTATTAATCCAGCACAGTTGATGGGTTGGTTGGGTACACTCAACAAGAATCCACTAGATGTATTAATCCAGAACAGTTGAAGGGTTGGTTGGGTACCCTCAACAAAGAATCCACTAGATGTATTAATCCAGCACAGTTGAAGGGTTGGTTGGGTACACTCAACAAAGAATCCACTAGATGTGACAATCCAGCACAGTTGAAGGGTTGGTTTGGTAAACTCAACAAAGATTTTAATAGACATATGGACATATCCTCCAGATGTAATAATCCAATACAGCTAAAGAGTTGGTAGAGTACGCTCAACAAAGAATCCACTAGATGTATTAATCCAGCACAGTTGAAGGGTTGGATGGGTACGCTCAACAAAGAATCCACTAGATGTATTAATGCAGCATAGTTGAAGGGTTGGTTGGGTACACTCAACGAAGAATCCACTAGATGTATTAATCCAGCACACTTGAAGGGTTGGATGGGTACACTCAACAAAGAATCCACTAGATGTGACAATCCAGCACAGTTGAAGGGTCGGTTGGGTACACTCAATAAAAAATCAGTTAGCTGTATTATTCCAGCACAGTTGAAGGGTCGGTTGGGTACACTCAATAAAAAATCAGTTAGCTGTATTAATCCAGCACACTTGAAGTTTGGATGGGTAAACTCAACGAAGAATCCACTAGATGTATTAATCCAGCACAGTTGATGGGTTGGTTGGGTACACTCAACAAAGAATCCACTAGATGTATTAATCCAGCACAGTTGAAGGGTTGGTTGGGTACACTCAACAAAGAATCCACTATATGTGACAATCCAGCACAGTTGAAGGGTTAGTTTGGTAAACTCAACAAAGATTTTAATAGACATATGGACAGATCCACCAGATAATCCAAGTAATAATCCAATACAGCTAAAGAGTTGGTAGAGTACGCACAACAAAGAATCCACTAGATGTATTAATCCAGCACACTTGAAGGGTTGGATGGGTACACCCAACAACAAATCCACTAGATGTATTAGTCCAGCACAGTTGAAGGGTTGGATGGGTACACTCATCAAAGAATCCACTAGATGTATTAATTCAGCACAGTTGAAGGGTTGGTTGGGAACACTCAACAAAGAATCCACTAGATGTATTAATCCAGCACACTTGAAGGGTTGGACAAAGAATCCACTAGATGTATTAGTCCAGCACACTTGAAGGGTTGGATGGGTATACTCAACAAAGAATCCACTAGATGTGTTAATCCAGCACAGTTGAAGGGTTGGTTGGGAATACTCAATAAAGAATCCACTAGATGTATTAGTCCAGCACAGGTGAAGGGTTGGTTGGGAATACTCAACAAAGAATCCACTAGATGTTTTAATCCAGCACACTTGAAGGGTTGGATGGGTACACTCAACAACAAATCCATTAGATGTATTAGTCCAGCACAGTTAAAGGGTTGGATGGGTACACTCAACAAAGAATCCACCAGCAGTATTAATCCTGTACAGTTGAAGGGTTGGTTGGGTAAAGTCAACAAAGATTTTACTAGATGTATGAATCCAACACATTTGAAGAGTTGGTTGGGTACACTCAACAAAATGTTGTACTCAATGTGTTCCTGGACACAATCTACACAGGAGGTAAGCCTTCCCATCTCCAGTGTATGGTCTTTGAGACGAGATCAATAACACATTGAAAAAAGAATTTTGTTATCTTCATCACATTCAGATATATAAAAGGAAGGTAGTCTGTCTCTAAAACCCAGTAGCCTCTAATAAGCCACTGGGAGCTAGAGCTGGGTGAACTTATGAAAAGTCCAATCACTGGGTGAATTTTTGTAAAAACTCTCGAAATTTGGAATTTCTGAACTAGAAGTCTCTTTGAAGTTAACAGGATTCTAAAGCAGGTTCCAAAAAGTATAAATTATGGAACACTTCCTTCAAAAACTCTAGTAGGTATAATAAGATAGAAGGTTGGGACCCGGTGGAATTGGCAGTCAACCTAAGGGTGACCAACAGTGGAGGCAGAAACAGCCCTTGGCCCCTTTCTCCCAAGAGCCTTTTTGGAATCCGAACGGACAAAAATAATGGAAATTCAGTTCCTGACATCTGAATTCATGAAATCCAGTACAAATCCAATGTCATCTGAATTTCGGGATCAACTCGTATAGGAAATGAGGGTGGGTAGGAGCCCATATAATAATAATTGTACAGTTGATAATGTTGTTGGCAGTTTTGGAGATTTCCATCAGTTTCAAACCAAATCTATTAAATCCACCAACTTGGGTATTCTCAATATCAAGCATCTTACTGATAGTAAACGATGTCTCCAAGCTCCTGAGTGTGCATGATAGGATTAGATAGTGGAGCCCCATCTGCTCCCTATGAAGGCTCCAGAGATCTAAGTTCCTCCTGAGCTCTACATTTGACATACGAGCAAATAACCAGCCAACCTGAAATGGGAATCACCATCTGAGCATGCTCAGATCAGCCAATCATGTTGTGATAGAGGAATGGACATAGAGGAATCACATGACACACTGGCTGCCAATGAACGGAAAGCTTTCCTAACAACATTGAGAAGGGAAGGAGATACATATATGTAGGGAATACATCAGCAGGAGACAATCCACAAACTGACAGCTTTCAGATTATCTGCTGGTGGACTGGATTGTCACGCCAGCAGCCTGTTTTATGGAATATGGCATCCCCAGTTAAATCTTCTGGCTGAATGCACTAGATTTCATATGAGAAGGTTGGACGTCTAAAGGAATGCATATGAATCAACATCCGTCACTGCAACAATAAAAATAATTACGTGATCAGGGGCTGACTGACCATTCTGGCACTGTCCGAGGGCCCGGGGTCAGTAGAGGGCCCCATGAGATGCCCCTGGTACCTTTCATAGGCTATTTTGGGTGTGGTTTGAGTGTGGGCGAGGACACAGGGGCCCCATGATCCCCTATTGTCCGTAGCAAATCATTACATTTATCCCTTTATCAATGTAAAGATCCCATCAAGTGCTCTGGATGGCCTAATCACAATATCTACACATCAGAAACTGTTAAATATATACAATTATATTTTCTAAAGTCCTTGTAATGTATATGCAGATCATGAGAAATGGCTTCTTTTTTT